TATGTATTCTCACCATCAGGTTTGTATTGGCAACATCACCATGAAGATGTTTGGTGCCATTTCTTGGTGACAGGAGTGACTCCAGTAAAGACCTTATTTCCACTCCCAGGATTCCTATCTCTACCTCCACACCATTTGTCATTGAGATTGACCTTTGTGGAAGGCACTGGCTAACTTTCACGTTATTTATTTGAAGGCTTTGGGATATCTCTGAACATCACAGGAAAGGACATATCGGGTATCATATCAGGCCTCAGAAAAAGACTAGATCCAGAACAACAGTAGGAGACACACCAATAGTCTGTAACAGGCTGGTGGGTGGCCTTCCTCTTATGAAGCTTCTCTAAGGATCCAAATCCCTTTGACAGAAAATTTATCTCCTAATTAGGTCCAGCCTTTGGCAATGTTGCCAGATAGTTGAGAGGCACAGTGGGAACCACATATAATGCCACGGGAATGGCACAGTAAGGGTGAAATGATGCTGGAGAAGCAGCATAAACAGATGGTCTCCATATATGGGTCTAACTAGATCTTTCTATCCTCAACCATCTAATCAAGGTTGATGGAGATTCATACACTATCAGACAGTTCCATTTTCCTACTGAGTCTACAAAAACATTTGTGCTCATTGATCCTGACCTGTGTTATTTATCTGTACATGAAAGTAGATCTTCCTTCTTGACTTTCCTGAGTTTCCATACATGTCCCCACCATCACTATGCACATTACAGACTGTTGAATTAGGTCTGATTAATAAGCAAATACATTTGAGCTCTGTCTGGCATTCTGGCCTTTATCTCCTGTCTCTTTCTAGGGGTGGTGGCGTGTTTGCTTTGCTGTGGTTACTTTGCATTAAGAGACCACGTATTTAACCTGGTACAGTCAGTAACTACACTGAATTCTCTTTGCTTGTTGAACTGCTGACTCCAAGCTTGAGCACACATCATGTATAAAAGATGTTTGTGGGTTTCCTGGGTGTTTTTAATCCACAAGAAAACGAATCTGGGTCATCGTAGTCAATTTTCTTAAGGAGAGAGTCCTCATGAAGATCAAGTGAGGTTGAAAGTCTTCATTCCTTGCCATCACTCATCTCCTCCTTTATTTACTGTCTTTCTGGTTTGCATTAGAGTGCTGACAAGCTGAGCTGTAGACATTTTCACCCACACTCCAAACTGCTGCTCTGACTTCAGTTCCAAGTTATGAAACCCAATCTCAATCTTAGAGGGGAGGCTACAAACTGGAACTTTAAATTTCAGTTTACAGAGTCCCCCAGGATGATTCCAGGAACTGAGTTGGGAGGGTCCTGAGAATTAGAAACCAAGCTACCACCCCCTTCTTCCCCTAAACGGCTCTGAGGACATCGGAAATGAAACTCATAAAAGACCATTTTCACCATGTCCCAGCTGAAAAGAACAGCAAGGGGACTTCTCCCCACCCCCTCCTGGAAACTGCTTATAAGTAATCACAGATGCAAGGAGGTGTCTCATTCTTCAAGGTCGTTTGAAGGGCATTTCACAATTCTCCTTGGTCACCTGTTTCAAAATATAAGCTGAATGCCAGGAAAATCTTCCTCATCTTCAAACACAAGTTCTTTCCTCAATCCAGAACATTTGGGTAATTAAAGTGTAACTTTTCAGTCCTGGAAGAAGCTTTAAATACCATTTCATCTGGAGGCCACCACTAGTGACCCAGAGATTGAGACATATTTTACCAGGGCCATAGAAAGTTTAATTTCTCAGGTTTTTTTCATTAGTTGCCAATACCTTGATATCAAAACAGTTCCTTCTTTAAAAAACGGCATATGATTGGTTTTTGTGGAGAACTCAGAAGACCTGGAAACAGGATCCTCATCCCCACCGCCATGAACAGAATGAGTGTTTTTCAGGTTGGCATTGTAAGGAAAAAAAACTAGCTACCACATTCATCACAGAGCATACCAGGTGAGCTGACTCTATCAACCCTAAATGACCAGGTCTTGGCAGCCATGTTTGTAATCCCTGGTTTCTAATGTAAAAGGGATCTGTGATGACTGTAGCACCCTTCAGCATGCCTCCTGACCTCCTATGAGGAACACTTCTTCAGCCCTCACTATGCTGACCTGGGAAAGCAGGAGAAAAAATAACACCAGGCAGGGAGGGGACACCAGAAAAGCCAAAGCCTACAATTGTCATGATCCCATTGCTCTTGGTAGTCCCTGGGCCAGCTCAGCAGGTTATTCATAGAACTGTCTGCTACGGAATGTGAAGAACGGTAACTGGCTGATCCAGGACATGGAGAAGTTTCCATGCCAAAGTTTTTACGGCCCAGATTGATTTTTATGACAAGAGGAGAATGCCTATGTGCCTGTATGTGCAATTTGTTTCTGGGTTGGTTACAATGTTTTTCATCTAGTACAAGGAGAGCTAAGGTTGTGTGCCCATTTATAACTCTGGAATCTAAGCCCAGAGAACAAGAAGGGACTCAGAAAATATAAAGGGAGAGAGAGTTTTACCTATCAAGAAAATAAAACACAAAATTTGTGATCTAAATGGGTGATTATAAGAGGCCATTCAAATCAAAGATCAGTTTGGAAGAGAGAGACAGGAAGAAAGAAAGAAAGAAAGAAAGAAAGAAAGAAAGAAAGAAAGAAAGAAAGAAAGAAAGAAGAAACTAAGAAAGAAAGAAAGAAAGGGAGGGAAGGGGAAAGGAGGAAGGAAGCAAAGGGAAAAGAAAAGAAAAAAAACAAAGAAACAAAAAAGGGGAAAAGCAACTTTATTTCTCAGAAAATTGCTTAAAGGAGTTCATTGGTACAGAGAAATGATTTATTTTATTTATTTATTTATTTATTTATTTATTTTTAGTCTCTCAAAAAGAAGTGATTGGCAGGCAAAGTACCAATTCTGTAAGAATCATGTCTTGCCACAAGCTAGGAAAAAACAGTAAATTGAACATGAAGGTAACGCTTACAACATGGAGCGCTTGATCTCGGGACCCAGAGCCTGCTGCCATAGGGTTGCCAGCATGTGGCCCAACTCTGCCAAGAACACTACAACCCTTTGAAATGGCTTCTGGCTGTGAATGTGGCTCGATACAGCCCAAAGAAGCCTACCGATTCCTTTCCTATCACTCTTTACTCAGAGCCACAGAGTCTCGGAGAAGCTTCTTCCAAGGAGCAGATATATGACTGGAGCTTCAAGCCTTTGATTTCAGTTTCAAATTGGGGTCTCTAACTGGAAGACACTGACAATCCAGTTCCCATGGAGCCGATGGCTTTTGCTGTCACTGGAAAGTTGTTGGGGAAAAAAAACAAAAAACAAAAAAACAAAAACAAAAAAACAAAAAAAAAACTGAGCTAAGGGCTTTTTCTTGTGACCAGCTTATTTTTAATCCATTTGGTGGCTATAGTGGGAAATTACCAATATGGAGCCAAGTAGAAATATAAGGTTATTTAATAGGGAAAAGCCTTACTTATAGAGCGACCTAGCCAGCCAGCATGGCAGCAGTCTGTACGCAAGCCGAAAGGGGAAAACAAAACTGAAACGCAGCACCGAAACTCTTACAGGTGTGGTCAGGCAGACCTGTAGCCTAAGCAGGCGTGTCTGCAGGTTCCCCTACAATTCCCCTTTTAGTCTAAAAGAGGATTAAAACTTAACAGTGTAAAGTATCCCAAATTAACAATCATAAAGGTGAAATATAAGAAGATACAACAATCTGCTTATGTCACATCCTATCTATTTTAACTAAACCCTAAAGTCATCTGAAAAAGGTGTCCAAGCCTGAACACCTCCTTCCAATCCCAACCATAAACAATAAGAAGCTATCCCTAACTAGGTATATACACTATCCTAAATGACAACAGTGGGGAAAGGGGACATAGCATTCTCCAAGTTACTTCCTGCTGAAATGGGACGATGATATCCTTGTGGGTTCCTGTAGGAAGAAAATGTTAGTATAGTGAAAGTCTTGAATGAATTGTATCCAGTCCATGTTAGATGGGATTCGCTTGATTGAAGATCTCTCTTGAAATCCTCAACTTGATTGAAGTCAGTACCCGAACTGACTTCAGAGTGTCAGAGTGTCCAGAGTGTCAGTTGAAATGGAGCAAGTTGGATCCAGTGCAGTCGAGGAAGTGTAGCCCATTTTCTTTCCAGGGTGTTCAGGGATTGCTGCCAGGCAGGTCTTCATTGGCTGTGTGGGACTCAAGCAGAAATAGCAGAGAAATGTTTGCTTGTGTATGTACACATGCTGGGGATTGCAACCATGAGAGCATTACAATTATGAGAGGGTATACACCTTGAGAAAAAGATCCAAGAAAAGACAAAGACAGTCCCCAAATTCTTCTTTTATTCTATATTACATCAATTGGCTTCTTGATACAATACAGAAACCTGTAGCCACGCCTGCTTAGGGGCTGGCTACAGTGAGGGCGTGGTCAGGGTAACGTAGAGTAAGAGTCTCAGGGCTGCGTTTCAGTTTCGTTTTCCCCTTTCAGCTTGTGTACAGACTGCTGCCACACAGGCTGGCTAGGTCGCTCTATAAGTAAGGCTTTTCCCTATTAGATACCCTTATATTTCTACTTGGCTCTGTATTGGTAATTTCCCACTGTATATGGTTATAGTTTTCTTCAGTTATTATAAAAGATAAGTTATCCTTCTTTTTATTTAGACATAAAAAAGGAGATGATGGGGAATGAACTTCTTTGTATGTTTATCTTATTGATTATTGAATAAAATACTGTTTGGCCAATGGCAGCAAGTTAGATGGGACTAGGAGTCAAAGAGGATTCTGGGAAATGTAGTAGAGAAGTGGTGATCCAGGCAGGAAGTGACATAGCAAGAAGACTCATATTAAGCGAAGGAAAAATAGGAAGCGTCCCCTTTTCCCCTTGCTCCTCCAGCAGCAGGATGTGATTTACCACCAAGGAGGGACGCCAATAAGGCATCCGATAAGATAAGTCTTATAAAATATATAGATTTATGATAATTAAGACTGAGCTAAAGATGAGGAATCCTAGTCATTGGCCAAGCAGCTTTGAACCTAATACAAGTTTCTGTGTATTCATTTGGGCCTAACTCAGGTGGGCGGCTGGCATAAATCTCACTCGTGGCAGTGGGGCTCAGGCGGCTTTTGGCAGAAAGATTTATCGCAACAGGTGGCCCAGGTGGTTATTACAGAACAGAGTGAAGAGTACGCACATCCACTCCCCACTGAGTTCAGGAAGAAGGGCACACTAACTTGGCTATCTCTCCTCCCTCCAAAAATTTCATTCTTTAGAAGGTTAGAAATAAATTCAAAGAACATCTTTCAGGAACAAACTAGAACCCCAGAGGTGGACTATGAGCCAGAAAGTCTTCTAACCCAAAACGTTGCTTTCCTCTGATGAAGACATTCTAACCATAGCAGAAAACATACCTGGATGGTGGAAGAATACATGCTGAAATAATTATTTATTAATATGCAAGAACCTTTTAATTACATCTGAACTGCTTTTGCCATTTGTTAACACTAAGAGTGTTAAGCAGTTTCATTGCTAACTAAACAAAACTGAATTAATAAAATTTATGATTGTGATTTGTTGAGTTCTTTGAATTTGTTTTTCCAGCAAATTTGGTGAGGACTTTTATCAGTGTTTCTATTAACAAAAATCTTTTTCACCTAATATCTTTATTTTTGTGTGGGAGGGACTCTAAATATATATTCTTGGAGTTTTGGTGCTTATTTTTATATTATTAATTTTGATAGTGATATATACTCTGGTTTTATGTTTTCAATATTTTCTGCTAGATTATTCCTTTTCATTTTTATTTTATAATATCTTTTGTTGTATATATTTTATTTTGATGTAGATAATTTTACCAACCTTCTTTAAAGTTTTGTACAGATATACAAATCATAGTTCAACCAAGAAGTGCATGAGTGTGTGCGTGCGTGCGTGTGTGTGTGTGTGTGTGTGTGTGTGTGTGTGTGTGTGTGTGTGTAGCTAGAGAGTTTGGATTATCACGGAGAATTTGGCTTACATAATTATGGGGTCTAGCTGAGGCAGGTAATCAGAAAGGAAAGGAAATAAGTAGGTTACAACCCCAGATTTATGGCCTCTGAACTCAGGGAAACCTGAGTACTCTTATAAATGTCTCAGACAGGATAATCTCCCTTTTGCTTAATTTGGAGAAACAGCAATGATTAGAGACTTCAATGACATCTATAAAATCCCATCCTAGTAACTTCTGAGTCTGTGTTGATTGACTAACTGGGACTGCTATCAACCCAGCCAGCTTGACACATTAGAACCCCATCACACCTGGATCAACATAAAATAGCACTTTTCTTTCTTCTGAAACTCTTTAAAATAACTACCATAGTTTATACTAAAATATTTAACAGTGGTGAACTTTTTGATTCATGTAGATGTTATACATAAGACAACTATGAGATAAAAGTGGGGGTGTGGTAAAAAAAATCATTGAGTTGAAATGAGTGGTGCTATTTATTACGTCTTACGCTATGAAAGTAGGATAGAGAGATGACTGATGATACATCACTTAAGAGACAATAATATGTAGCTTTAATGCAACACAAACTGAAGCCAACTATTAAACATATTAAAGTACCCCAAAATAAGACCAGAGGAACAAAATTAGTAAAAATAAATAAATAAAATGCATACATTCAATGATATTGATCCAATAACTCACTAACTCTACTCCTAGTTGTCTACCTAAGGAAACTCACTGGCTTACACATGAATCATATAAAGGGAGATTCGAAGTAGCATCCTTTAAAACAGACAATACTATGGCAAATTAAACATACATCGAGTACAGAGCAGATGTTGAAAACAGATTTGTTGCTGCCTTCACCTTCTTTAAGCCCCCGCCCTTCCCTCCCAGGAACTGGTGACTCTTTCTCTTACAGGCCTTCGCCCTCCTCTCAGTCCTCCCTCTCCACTATCATCTCTAGCTCCTTCCTGGAAAGCCAGAGTCTTCATTTGTTGTTGGTTGTCCAAGAAGGAGGAAGAGAACATGGAGGGGAATCAAAGATTCTGTCCCAGAGGAAGCTGGGAAGATACAAAGGAAACTTCAGTAAGACAAGATGGTGAGATCCTAAGCATTCTCCTGGAGTATGTGTCAGGGAGGAAAGGAAAGCGTCAAGGGGAGCAACAGATGGAACAACTAGGCCAGAAGCAGAACAAGAGATGAAATCTTCAGAAACGGGAGCCTGGGAGTAGAGGTGCTTCCTGGGAAATGGGGGACTGTACCACAGTGCATCTGCTTTCCTCTTCCACCTCAACTTCAGCCCTCATCCTTTTTTAGTCTACTTCTCAACAACAGAAGCCCTAGCCCTAGTCATCTCATTGTGTTCCCGTATTCATCTCATGCTCCCCACTCCTTTGCTCCCCCTTTTGTATGGACCCCATTGCAATAATTCTACATAAAAAAATACAACCTTATCTAGTTGCATGTGAGATTCTAAAATTATATTAGCATTATAAAAGCCAAAGGTACATGTTCAGTATAAATAAATCTCTAAAAGTTAAGCAAAGAAAACTAAGTCACAGAAAGATAAACAAATGAGACCATTTACTTAACATTTCATGGTGTATGAAAAAATGCTATGTATCCAGGTGTGATGGCACATCCCTTTAATTCAGGCATCCTGGAGACAGAGGCAGATAGATCTCTGAGTTCAAGGCCAGCCTGGTCTACAGGGAGAATTCCAGGACAGTCATGGGTGTGCAGAGAAATCCTGTCTATGGATAGATAGATAGATAGATAGATAGATAGATAGATAGATAGATAGATAGATAGATCTGTGCTATGTAGTTTTAAAGGATACACAAGAAAGTAGTTGTATAAAAAGAAAGAAATGAGAATATTAAATACCCAAATTAAACATCATTATTACTTCTGAGAGACTGAGGAGGGACAACGAGAAATCAATCTGGGAGGACCTCATCTCTGGCCTACCTGCAGCATTACTGTCAGATTGGTTGGTATACGTAAGAGTATGTATTCCCTCTACCACAATGTATATTGAAATATTCTATTATTCAAAAACTTAGAAAAGAGCTGGAGTCCCAAATACCTCTTTGGCAAAAGATGGAGGCTTGTCATGATGAGGGATCAGCAGCCCTTGCTGAATGCCCTCAACTGTTTTGACTTCTGAAGGGGTGTGCCATGATTATAGCTGCGATTAGGTGACTCACCATAATTATGTTTTTGTTGAAATTGAATTTATTGAAGCATGAATCATTCTGCCCAAGTCTACCTAATTGCTCCCAACACTGTAGATGGGAAGGACGGTGGAGGAGTTTTCTGTGGAGGTCATTATAGCGCCCACGGCGCATATAGAATTTTTACAGGGATTCTTCTGCTCCTCTCCCCATTTGGTCTCAGGTTTCTTGGGGTCTCTGTGTTTCAGACCACAGACTTTCCAGAAGTTAGTATCTCAAATTTGCTGACTTGCCCTTTGGAGCCCTGTTCTCCCACCTCAGACCGGTTCTGCTCAGTCCAGAACCATAGGGAACAGCACGGCTACTGCAGAGCTGTGATTTCAACCAATGTGGGTGCAATAGAAGCAGACCGCAAACTCATCCTGAGCCTCCCTTCTGTACCCTGTCCACAGGAAGGAGTGGGGTATGTGTGACAGCTCTGGGGTTACCCCAGTCTCATGCAGGCATAGAGGTTAGTCAGTCTCTCTCCTGTGCCTCTGCCAGCGTGTGGAAGCCAAAGGGCCTCCAGCCACTGACTAGTGCTTATTTTCTCTTTGTGTGGATGGAATTGAACAAACATATTGGCCTTTGGGTCTGTTTTAGTCTAGGTGTAGACTAAATGTAGAAATTAACAGATCCATCTTTCTCCTGGACAGAGTACCAGAGGCAAGCTCCATTGTCTTGCCAGTTTGGATGCATTTACGTCACTTACAAGGTGATTTTCTATGCACTTGACACATTTGATCACATTTTAACTTGACCACTCCATGGAGATGGGTGTCTTTATTAGTCCCACACTGTGGATGAGGAAGCTGAGATGCAAGAAGTTGAAGAACACACCTCGCATGCACTCAGCAAATGCAGGGTACTGTCTCCAACTCAGAGTGTCTGTTCCCTGACTCTGCTTTTTTGCCACTCCCCAGTATCCGTTACATGACAGACATGAGCTTTGAAAAACGATCTGGCGTGATCTCAAGACCCATCTACTTGATAGATGAGAAAATTAAATCTGTGAGAAGTGAAGTAACTTCTAAAGATGGCACAAATGGTGAGCAAAGCAGTGAGAGCCTGCAGCTGCTCTGCCCCTGTGCACATCTGTCCTCCCCAGGTCAAATGACTGCTTGGGTGTGGGGGCCCCAGGATGATGATCACACATAGCAGAGTGGTCACACTCAGCAACCAGGGGCACAGTGCAGTTGATGGCACCGGGATACCCAGCTACAGTGCTCCCACCAGCTGCTGCTGGTGGGAATTCTTCTACTGGTGACTCCAGCTTTCCCTGCAACCATCTTGCCATCTGCAGTTAACCGGGCATTGACCGGCCCTCCATCATTAACCTCTATGAGTGTTAACTATCAATGAGTGAATGCTCCAGGAAAATGAAAACACCCATGTGAAACAGTTTTAGGGCAGGAACCTGAGAATCATGGATCCTAAACATGGACCTATAAGATGGATTCCGAGCATAGAAGAGAAAGCAAGAAATGATCCATTCACTCATGCCTAGTTATCCCTAGAACTTGCCTAGGACCTTCCTTCTTCTGACTTGTTCCCTGTGAAACATCTCAAGGCTCAAATCCTGCGCATCCTTGTAGCTATGAGTGTCAAAGTGTCAAGGCTCAAGATCTAGTTCAGATCTTATATTTTCTAGAGCAGGAAACTCAGACTCCATTGGTTACCCACTTGAACATTATAACAAAAATAAAATTCAGAGACCAGGGTCCTGAGAGAACCAAGAGCCTTGACCAGAAAAAAAAAAAGAACATCCTGTACCCAATCCTCCAACCTCTCTGCTTCCTCTTATTATTTAGTTTATTGAATCACATATACTCAATAGCCACCAGTAATGTCTAGCTACTGTAATTTCCATGACTAGCATAATGGCCGAGTAACCCCTATTTATTTGCAGAAGGACATGGGGGTGCATATCTCAATAAAAAATCTCAGTCAAATCTTCTTGAAGCAGTCACTATGGGTGAGTAATCAGCTTATAAAATAAAGTTTAAACCTGGATAGTCACAACAGAAAAATATCTTCCAACATTCTTTTTTGTAAGCAAGAGAGTTTAACGAGGCTAGCCTCAAACTTGCTTTTAGCTGATGGTCCTTCAGTCTCCACCAAGAGCTTGGGTTATAGGCATGAATTGTCAAGCATTCTTTACAGGAGGAGATTCTATGGAAATTCATGGGAGAAGAATGTCAAACATGAACATTTTATTATTGCTTCTAAAATTAAAGAAAGAAGCACAAGTTATGTTTTAGTGAATAGATGGATAATAAAGGAAATTCCAAGAAACAAAGAAATAGCCAGCAGTAAAGAAACTGTAATAAGTGCTTACTACTTGCTTCCTGAGCCAAAGGAACAAAGCTAGAAGCATCACAACACCTGACTTGAAAGCACACAACAAAACTACCATTACCAAAACAACATGGTGCCAACATAAAAGCAACCCACAGAATAGAACAGAGCACCATAAATTAATCCACACACTTAAAACAAATTAATGTTTACAAAACCACAAATATTTATACTAGTGATGATCTCTTCAATAAATGGTACTAGTAAAACTCCCTATGAAGACAAATGCAACTAGACCCTCATCTCTCACCATGTACAAAAATACAACTTAAAATGTATTAAAGAGTTAAATGAAAGACCTTATCCTAAGAAAATACTAGAAGGAAACATAGGAAAACTCTTCAAGACATCACTCTAGACCACTGTACTTTTAATAAGAGCCCAAAGTGCAGGTAAGAAAAGCTAATGATACAAACAGGATGATCTCAATGGAAGTAGCATCTATACAGTAAAAGAAATAATTGCCAGACTAAGGGGGAAGAAGAAAACATTTGTAATCTGTTCATTTATCAAAGAATTAATATCCAGAAACAGTTTAGCCACAAAATGAATAATAATCCAACTACAAGGTAAGAGAGGAATCTGAGCATTTTTTAAGGCATTTAAATGAACGACAAGTAGACTTTTAAATTTTCAATGCATTGGTCATCAGAGAAATGCACACCAAAACCACAGTGACAGATTATCTTGCCCCAGGTAGAATGGTTGATAGGAAAAAGACAAAACATGGGGCTGGAGAGATGGCTCAGAATGTAAAAGCACGGTCTGCTCTTCCAGAGGTCCTGAGTTCAATTTCCAACAACCACATGGTGGCTCACAACCATCTGTAATGAAATCTGGTGCCTCTTTTGACTTGCAGGGATGCAGGCAGAACACTGTATACATAATAAATAGATAAATATATAAATAAATAAATCTTTAAAAATAAAAAGACCAAACACTCTGGGAAGGATGTGGAATCAGGAGAATTCTTATACTATGTTGGCATAAATTAGTGGCGTTGTTATGCCTGAAAGTCAGGAAGTGCCTCAAAACACTGAAAATCTACTATATAGCCCAGCAATTGAGTATATCCAAGGGAGAATGAATCATACCAAAGAGATGCCCACACTCTTATATTTATCTTACTATTCACAATACCTCAGGTAGCATATCAACCAAAGTCTCCAGCAACAGATAGATGGACAAAGAAAATGTGTGTGTGTGTGTGTGTGTGAGAGAGAGAGAGAGAGAGAGAGAGACAGTGACAGAGACAGAGACAGAGACAGCAGACAGAGAGAGCAGACAGACAGACAGACAGACAGACAGACAGACAGACAGACAGACAGACAGACAGACAGACAGACAGACAGACAGACAGACAGACAGACAGACAGACAGACAGACAGACAGACAGACAGAGACAGAGACAGCAGACAGAGAGAGCAGACAGACAGACAGACAGACAGACAGACAGACAGACAGACAGACAGACAGACGACAGAATGTTATTCAAATATAAAAGAGATACAGTCCGGTCATCTGCAACACATGACTGGAAGACAATCATGATCAGTAAAATTAACCAGTCACAAAAAACCAAATGTATCACATTTTCTATCATTCATGGAAGTTGGAAAAGCTGACTTCATGAAAGAAAAGTACAGGAGGCTCATCATTAGGAGTAAGAAAGGGAGAAGCTTCTCTAGGGCAGATGGGGCAGTGATGGGTAGACAGGAGGCTTTGGGCTCTGTGTGCTGTGGCCTATCAGGGTGGGATGACATCCTGTGGTCATTTGATTTGCATTTCCCTAATGACTAGTGATATAAAGAGCTTTAAAACATATTTCAAAATAACTAGAAAATTTCTAGGTCTGTCTCCTAAGATCCAGAAATGGTGTGCAAGAAAATGAAAGTCTTAATCAGCCTGATTTGTTCATTACACCCTGGTGCAGACATGCATCCTATTATTACTGTGCCCCTTTTATATGTACAAATATATACTAAATTTTTAATTAAAAATTAACTTGGGGCTAGAGCAGTGGCTCAGTGGTTAAGAGTATTTGCCGCTGTTGCAGAGAACCCAGGTTCTGTTCTCAGCACTAATGTGTCAGCTCACTACCATCTGTAACACCAATTTCAAAACCACCTTCTTCTGGCCTCTGTAGGTACTGTTTGTATGTGGTACAGTTACATACATGCAAGCAAAATATTCATATACCTAAAAATTAAAAAAAAATATCAAATCCTAAAAATGATCTTGAAGAGGTTTTCCCAGCACTACCTAGATCACAAAAAAAAAAAAATGTGGCATGCTTGTCTTAGAAAGTGGACTAGGGATTAAAGACATAGTCAATGATTTCTATAACTTAAATTACATTGTTTTTTATTAGTTCAAATTAGAACAAGCCTGCTTCACATGTCAATCCCTTCTCTCTCTCCCTCCTCTCCTCTCCCACCCCCCACCAGCCCCCCACCCCATTCACCCTCTGCTCCCCAGAGAGGGTAAGGCCCTCCATGGGGATCCCCAAAGTCTGTCATATCATCCTGGGCAGGGCGTAGACCCTCTCCCATGTGTCCAGGCTGAGACTGCATCCCTCCATGTGGAATGGGCTCCCAAAGTCCTTTCTTATGCCAGGGATAAAGACTGACCTGCTACCAGGGGCCCCATAGAGTGCCGAGGCCTCCTCACTGTCATCCACATTCAGAGGTCTGTATCAGTCCCGTGCTGGCCTCCCAGACATCAGTCTGGGGTCCATGAGCTCCCCCTTGTTCAGGTCAGCTGATTCTGTGGGTTTCACCAGCTCCGTCTTGTCCTCTTTGCTCTTCACCCCTCCCTCTCTGCAACTGGGTTCCAGAAGTCAGTTCAGTGTTTAGCTATGGGTGTCTGCTTCTGCTTCCATCAGCCACTGGATAAAGGCTCTAGGATGGCATAAATGAGCACTAGTGTGCAGTTAATTCCAAAATACATCTGTGGTGCTAACACTCTTATTAACCTGTCTGTCATAGCATCTTCTTGTCTGTCTCCAAGGGCACCTCCACCTGGCCAACATCAGACTGTGACTTGAAAGGATCTACTCGGCCTTTCACCACCATCTCCACTCTGTATGTCTTCCCTACTAGCCCACAGGTTGGGTGAGGAAGGCTAGAGAAGATTCAGATCTCATAGACATGTTGTGATGTACCACATTTAACCTAAGATATGCCACATGCAAATAAGGAATGATAAACTACCGCTCTTACTCCTCCTCATCTAAATTAGCCCAAACAAACTAGATTGGTGGGGCCATTTGTCCCCATCTGCTTGACCACAGGACATGTAGACACAACCAAGGTCCCTTAAGGTTTTATCTTACCTCTAACTCCAAAATCCCACTTTTCCCATTTCTTCATCCCAAAAGCCTAATGTAACCTCCTTACTTAAGTCCTTCCTCCCTTCCTTTATACCCCAGCCTCTTTAATTTACTGTGATATTCCAGAAAAATTGGCCCACATCTCCACCATTTATAGGTCTCCCCTCAAATCAACAAATAATCATTATTATGCTACCACGTGTAGACTGGAGACAAAGTGAATGCCTTTGACCTAGTTTGATACATCAATTCTTGGTTAAGAATGCTTTGCCTCATGAAGATATGCATTTGAGAAGATATTGGATGAGGTTACACATGTTGAGGAGAATTTGCATCATATTTGAGGGAAAGAGCACTAATGCCCTTGCTACTTGACTCTCTAGGAATTTAGAGAAACTGCATCACGGGAGACATAAGTCTTGAAGAGCAGAAGTGCAGACACCTAGTTATGCACAAGTAGTCAATTAGTTCCAGAGAAAAGGAAAACAGTGAAGTTGCCTGGATTTGCAGACACATCTTAAACTATTTTTGGAGTGTTTGGAAAAATAAATGCATTATGCACCATGCACCTTCCCCCATCCCTCACTTAAAACTATGTGTGCTGGAAAGGAAACTTAATCCTTCTGTTCTTAATTCACTTTCATTTAACCCATCAAAATCCAACTTGGTGGGAACTGCTGGATGCAGACATTATGAGCCTTCTGAAAGAAACCACTTAGACCCTCCCTTTCTTTGAATTTCAGAAACCACAATTGGGAACTATTTTCAGTAGATGTAGTCAGTGGGACGAGATGTGAGTTCAATTTTGACTTACAATTTTGCCATAGCCAACACATTCTGTGTTCAGCCACATTGCCACGACTTGTCTTTAGTTCTTGCCAATAACCTGAGGTTTGAGGACCAGTTGTGAAAAGTCAACAAATATAGACTGAGACCCATCTCCCAATACACACAGAATGCTGTGTGGGCCCTTGGCATTAGGTCTCAACTTCTACAATGCTGGTGAAACCTCCTCTGCTATAGTCTAAGGGTTTTGATTTTGTTCATATGTAGAGGGTAGTGGATCCCCTGCCCGTGCTCATAAAAGTAGCTCAAATTAAACTCAAAGACATGAAAAATGTAGGTGTAGGGAGACACCGTAACCATGCCCCCCAAGGGCTGGCTACAGGTGTGCCCAACCATGGCCATCAGGGTGTGGTCAAGGTGATGTCAAGGTGACATGGTAGAGGTTTAAAGGGACAGACAAAGCACATGATAGCTCTCTTTCTCTGCTGCTTTGGCATGCTCTGTTTTCCTGTTAGTTGGCATTTATCTATTAAAAGTCTTCCTAACCTTACAGACTAAGTATTAGTTATTCACCATGATATTTAGGAGTAGGGGACAAGTTGGGAAGAGAATGGGGTTGTTGGCAGTGGGTGAGTATCAGGCATGCAGGTAAATACAATCACAAATGTATGTGTATATGACATTTCAAAAATAAGAATTTTGTTGCATAAATTAAGATTTTAAATTTATTGCCACAAAAAGGGAGTGGAGAAGAATGGAAAAGAGGGGATCAAGAGAGAGGGAATCTAGTGAAGGAGAAGAGGGTGTTATAATTTAAAGCCTTAGGGCACAGCTTGGGGAATATGTAGAATTTGACTGAATCCACACAATCTATGTGCTCACCTAGAACTGTGTGCTAGACTACTTCAAAATGGGCATGAAAATAGATATCACCCTTGGGCCCTCGGTTACCTACCTCAGTCAGCAGAAAACTAAAGGACAGCCATAACTAATAGGCTAGCAATTATTCCACCCACCTGCCTTTTGAATTTGATGGAACCATCATAGGCAAATTTCAGCATTTATACTTTGTCTGCTTGGCCACAATCTCAGCAGCATGTAGGAGACACAGGCAGAGGTCAACTTCCTTATGGGTCACCTAGACCTGTCTTCTTGTCTAACTGGTAAAGGGAAAAAGAAGCTGGTAGTTCTGACCTGTCATCAGGCTACAAGGACATAGCCAGTCTCTCTTCTACCAGGTCATAGCCAGCACAAGCCAGGGCCAAGAGTCTCCATACTCATGACTATCACATTCCCTGTTAAAACCTGAGTGCCCACAAACATTGTTCCTTTGACTAATTTTCCTCCTTTCCATTAGGGAACACCATGTCTTTGTCCAGTGGCATAGGGAGAGAAAGGGAATGTTGATGCTTTGTTGAAACCAGTGTACTGGGTATTGCCTTCATTTCATCTAGAACCCTGCTCTGGGCTAACTGGATGTATTCATTTATGCAGGCTCACAAGTGTTCAACACACAGGGAAAGAATGGCTGTGGTTATCTCTCCTGGGTCTCTGAGAAATGTGGGTCATTTACAAAGAAAAGATTCCACATGTCAATTTCACAAAACAGAATTTTAAAATAGATGACAATTAAAGAAGACAAGTCCTGCCTTAGAAGAGGCTACTTTCTCAGACCAGAATGTAAGTGGAATCCTTCCTAAACAGTTCCAGGAACTGTGAATAAGAGAGCTACTTAAGCCTTTGAAATCACGTTGACTTGACTTCAGACAGCTCTGCCTTTTGCTATTTGTATTTCCTCCCATCTACAGGCAACAAAAATTTTCATATATGAAATGGTCATATAAAAACTCCTTATATGTGACAATGCTTCTTCATAGCATTGTCATGAAAACCAAGTGAATGACACATAGAAAATGCTGTGTGTAAAACTAACAGAGTGAATGGAAAGGGAACAGGAGTTGTAAAACAACCGTCTCATGGACCTTGCTGTATTTCCTGGGGTTTTCATTGACTGTGCTTTTTAGTGAGTGGTATAAAGTTCCTATTAAAAGTTGGATGGAGTACCTAGGAAAAATAACAGCCATCTCTTGGGGGTGGTTGTCATCTTATTATATTGTCAGAATCGCCATATGTCAGAAGCAAAGACACCAGCACTGTGTCTTTCCACAATGTTGGAATTTAATAACAATAAATTCCCAATATATTTGTTTCATTAACTGTAACTTACCAAGTAGTCCCAACTTCCCTTGATAGCATGGCCATTTGTAATCGCGGTTCCTTTTGTTCTAATCATGATTACCAATGTTGACTCTCAAATCACATATTACAATTCTTACCACATGTGCAAGTTACAGAATGGCGACAAAAGGATTGATGGGGCCACAGAGTTCACAGAAGCCTCATTGAAAGCAGAAGCCAGCAGCTGACACAGAGTCATGGCAGGCAGTTAGATAAGTGATCCATGGACACAGATGGAGAACTTTTAGAGGCAGACTTCAGGGTAGTCATAGAGGCCAGGACCATCCAGGCCAGGTGCAGAACTGGTCCAGTAGGACAGACAGACTGATGCCTAGAAAGATGGCAGACTCAGTGGACTGCATCAAGTAAGGGGGACCTGAGCTGAGGCTCTGAAGTCAGTCTAGAGTTCTGCATCTTCTGATGCAGGCATTGGATGGTCAGAGCACAAGTTCAACTGGGCTGTTATTATTGCAGTATTAAGTGTCTACCCTTTCATGAAGTTAAGGTGAGGGTGTTACACAGTTTGTTGGTCTGTTGTGTTCAAGTCCTCAAGCCTGTTTTGTTTTTGTTTTTGTTTTTTATTTTGTTTTTGTTTTTGTTTTTTTCTGGCATGGTTTTAGTTCATCCCTGTGTGTCTAGTCTGCTTTGATAACTTTATAGGTGATTCTTTTTATTTGCATGCATCTTATTTATCAGGGTCCCAGTCTCTGCCTATGGCTAGTGCTTGGCAGGTCCCGGAGCACACATGAGATGTAGTGATACACATGAGAGCTTGAGTTTGATTCCCAGAATCCACATAAAAGAGTCAGTGACATATATTTATAATCCAGGATGCTGACAGGAAGAGTCAGGTGGATCCCTGGGGCTCTCTGATTGGACAAATTGGACAAAAAGAAACTCGCTCATAAAACAAGGTGGTAGCATAACTTTTAGATGCATTCTAAATATTCGTCCATATACACACAGCTAAGTGTAGTCTTCATGTCTTATCAAGGAAACTTCTCCCTTCAACAAAGACCATTATAGAAAATCACAACCAACCATGACTTGTGGATTCCAGTCTCAAAAGATAGATGGACAATACATTCCTTTCCCTGAGGCTCAGGGGTCATAGCAGAAGAGGGGGCAGAAATAAAAGTCAGAGAAACAGAGAGTCTGCTGTGAAGCTGTGTCTCCTGGGAGTGCCAGAAGTTACACCCAAAAACTCTCTAACAAGTGTGAATAAACATGAGGTGGACAAGGACAATAGACATGCTAACATAGATGGGTATGGTGGTTTGAGTGAAAATGGCCCCCACAGGCTCATAGGGAGTGACACTATTAGGATGTATGGCCTTGCTGGAATAGGTATGACCTTGTTGGAGGAAGTGTGTCCTTAGGAATGGGCTTTAAGGTTCTAAATGCTCAAGCCAGGCCCAGTGCCACTCTCTCTTCCTGCTGCCTGCCATTCCAGATGTAGCACTCTCAGCTACCTTCTCCAGCACCATGTTTGCCTTCATGCCACCGTGCTTCCTGGCATGCTGACAATGGACTAACCTCTGACCTGTAAGCCAGGCCCCAATTAAATGGTTGCTATGGTCATGGTATCTCCTCACAGCAATAAAACCATAAGACAATGGGGAAATCACATGAGGATTGCTGAGAGTTGGAGAAATAGGTTTCCCCAGGGAAGAGCACACCAATTAGTTATCCAATACTGAATCGTGAGCCCTGGAAATATACTTGCAAGTAACATTTTACAGACTGAGCAGGTTATACTTACCTATAGATTTAAGAATATGTAGTATGTAACAAAAATGGATGAACAAAGAGGCCATGGATTTGAAAGCAAGAGCGTGCTATGGGACAGTCTGGGGAGAGGAAAGGGAAGGGGGAAATAATGTGCTTATATTACAATCTGAAAAAATAAAAAATAATATAAAAAGAAAGAAAACAAGTTGGCCAATGTCTGAGGGGTAAAGACACCTGAGGTTGTTCTCTGACCTCTACATGTGTTCACTCACACACATGATCATACACACAATGACTATGACACATCCTTACAATAGAGTATTATTCATCCTCCAAAGAAATGAAATACTGATAAGTTCACTTTAAAACACTGCACTAACTAAAAGGAGAAACACACAAGTTATATAATTGATGTATGTGAAGTGTTCAGAATGGCAAATTCATAGATGCAGAAATGGTGTTTTCCAAGGGCTGGAAGGGGGACACAATAAAGAGAGGTTGCTGAGAGCTCTGGGTATTTGTTTGACCCTGGGTGTTCCCTAAGTTCCTTTCAGCTTCTTGAGAAGCCTATCTGATTTTGCTTCCCCTCTACTCAAACCTTGCCTTGTCTCCTCTCCCTGCAGAATAAATCCCCGACTCCTTAGCAAGGCATCCAAAGCTGACTCTGGGGATGATCAAAATGCTCTGGAATTGTGGAGTCATGCTGGTGGTACAACATTGTAAGTACACTAAAAGCCACTGAATTGCAGCTTTAAAACAGTGAATTTTATTATGTGAAAGCTTATATTATGTGAATTGTAGCTCCACATTTGGAATGCGGGCATGAGGAGGGGCTAGAGAATTTCTTCTCTCATCTCCCATTTTGCACCAGGCCTCTTTGTACCAGGTAGATGCTGTATTTTTTTGTTGTTGTTAGAAAATCTCTTGTCCATTGATTCACTTCTTTCTAGGCACTGGTAACATCATTTCTTCCCTTTGTTTCTTGGTCTACAATAGACTTGGTTTCCACTGTTGCTTTCATCTACCTCAAAGTCACTGTTTCCTTTACCTTTTGACACCACTAGAAACAGTCCCCTCATTCAAATTGTCCACCCTCCGGGTAAGCTCTGTTTGTTGGCAGTCATCCAACTGCTGGTGAACTTACAGTCATGTTCTTTGGAACTCTGATGCTTCGGATGAGCATCTGTGTGTCAGTAGGAATGTGACAATAGGATTCTCAAGTATTGGTGTTTCACATTCTTAATTCACTGTCATCCGTGTCTTGACTCTTGGGAAAGACCATACCCCACAGTAACTTCAGATGTTAATTACCCATGATTACTCAATGTGGGGTTTTCTAATTTTTCTTGGAGTTATTTATGTTTGTAAGTGTTTTTTTCTGCATCTGTGTATGTGCACCACGTGTGTGCCTGGTGCTATGGAACTAGAAGAAGGCAGTTGATCCCCTGCAGCTGGAGTTAATAGATGGTCATGAGCTTCCATGTGGGTGGTGGGAACCAAACGCCAGTGTAAGTGCTCTTAACCACTAAGCCAACTATCCAGCTCCTTCAACTTAAGATTCTTCTCTCTAAATGGATTTCTATGCCCTGGGTAAACCTTTGAAACAATGTGATTAAGGCTTCCTAGTGAATGTCTGATACATAGCTCAGTGCCAACATTTTCCTCTACTTTACTCAATGGCCCCGTAATCCATCTATTCGGTTAAATTAGACTCCTCAACGTTCTCTTAAATTTACTCTCTTACAGTCCAAAAGGACTTCAAATCCTTCTTAGACTTCAGGAAAATTCTCAAGGCATAGCTCTTCCTATCTCATTCATACTTTGAAAAATTCTTTCTAGTACTGGTTTCTTCTTGGCCCAGACCGAGTCTGTGTTTCATCCATCTTTTGAAGTTCTTTATCATATTGCCCCTCTCTCCAAAACTTTCTTCACTTTTTCTCTGTCTCCATAATAAATTCTGGACCTGCCAAAGGCACTCAAGCTTGTGTTCCCAGTGTGAGTGCAGCTTATCTTTCTCCGTCTCCGCTGGCCTTCACACACCCTGAGTACAATCCTCTAGCCCCTTAGCATTACTGTCTTTTCTGATCTTTGTAATTTTATACATAACATTGCTTCTGTGTGTAAAAATCCCAGTGTTGCTTTTAATCAGAAGACATACTCATCCTCCAGGTCTGAAGCTATTCATTCACTCATTCAACAAATCATTATTGACAACACAAAATGTGCTAAGCACTATGTTAGGCGTATAATGGTGAACAGGACAGACCTCGTCTCTGCTCCCACAGGACCCGGTGTCTAATGGGGAAATGAATGTTAACTCAATAATCTTTTAAATTGCTCCATAGCCATAATTGTAAATAAGTGCCATGAAGGAAAATTATAGGGTGCTCCATCGGGTCCTCTCTGAAGCCCTCTGAAATCCCCCAGGCTAGGGTTCCTTGTTCTCCCTTGGCTCCCACAGTACTGTATTTATGTTTTATCATGTCTGTCCCAGTAGCATTGGAAACAGAGACTAGGTTATATTTTAATCTTCAGTGTCAAGCAACGTTTTGGGTCTGACATAGACGAACAGTGTACACATAGGGGATGACTGAATGGATAAATAAATGAAATAAACAATTCAGACAAAATGATGACTTGAAAATTACCCTAAAAATAATGACAGCAATGGTCCTAAGTGTTTTCACTCATTCCAATGGCTTTTTAAAAGAAGCAGGCAGACAAATCTCTATTTTCCAAGGGAATATATGTCACAAGAAATTGTGCTAATGGATTCTTTGTTCCGTCGACTGACTCACTGTCATACCACTTTCCCATGAAAAGCAATTTTTCACTGGGTTTCATTTTCATCTGAAGTTCAATCTTTACAATGAAATATGGACACCCATAAATCTGGGGAAGCAGTTCTGAGCATTTGCGGGACACTTGTCTGTGGATCCTTGCCTTCAAAGGCCTGAGCTTCTCACTGCGAGAGTTTTGATTCATTCTTCCTACCTCTCTTCTTCATCCATTTTAAACATTTTGCCATTTGTGTGTTTGGATTCATTTTTCATCTCGCGCCATCAGGACGAAAGTGGCAGTTATGCTGACCCTTTCCCTCTATGTTTCTCATAAATTTATCTCCTGAGAACAAGGACATGCTTTCACATGTTCACTGTGCTATTATCACTCTAGAGCTTTTCCTTAATGTCCTAATACTACCCAATAGTCAATAAATGCTCAAACTCTCACAATTATAAAAGTGTCTTTTATTGCTTCCTAAAAATCTTACATCAAATCCACTGTCAGAAATTATAGCCTTTAGTGCGTTTCTTCATTCTTAGTTGAGAATTCCTTCACTTGATTTCCTGTAGAGCGAGTTTTTGTGTGATATTTATACTAATTCATTGGGAATTTCATGCAATTCATTTTGATCATATCTACACGCACATGTGCATATGCACTCGTGCATGGGTGCGCACGTACACACACAGAGAGCTCTGCTAACACCTTGCAAATCCACAGCCAACTTCCTTATTTTAACAGCAGCACAATTACTACTTTCTAATTGTGTCATCCCTTTTACATCCCACCAGAAGCCTTCTCAACCATCCTGCTTGAACTTGTTTGGTTTAGTTTGCTTTTTTCTTTTTCTCTATTTTTTTAAGTTCTGTGTCCTAAAGTGCATTATAACCATTTATGCTTAATGTGTTCATAATTCAGTAAGTGGGAATTTAATCCAGTTTTTCTTCTCTTTATGTGTTATACTTCCCTCCATCTTTAAACTCTTTCTTATTGTCTGAAACATGTTTTCCTTTCCTCAGATCTCAATCACAGCTAAGACATGCAAATGCTTAAACCATGCACACATTTTACCTTTGAACTGCATGCAGAAGGTGCTTCCTCCATGCCCCTTCTCCCATTCATAATGACTTCTTTCTCTCACGGTGGCTGAAAACAGCTAATAGTCATTCATTTCTCTATCCTACAATTTCCTCAAAGTCCTGTGTGAATTATTAGCCCAAAACCACAACCAATATCAAACAGAGTAAAGTTTAAATGTCTTTGTATGTCACATTTCCCCTCCAACTGTACTCCACTGAACCAGCTGTTCTCAACCTGTGGGTCGTGACCCCTTTGGAGGTCGAATGACACTTTCTCTGGGGTCACCTGAGACTATTGGAAAACACAGATATTTACATTATGATTCAAAATTACAAGCATGAAGTCGCAACGAAAATAATGCTATGGTGGGGGTGACCACAACATGAGGAACTGTACTGAAGGGCTGCAGCATGAGGAAGGTTGAGAACCACTGCACTCAAGAAGCGAGTCTCCAAAACAACAAACAACCATATTAAAAAGTGGGCTACAGAACTAAATAGACTATTCTCAAAAGAGGAATCTAAAATGGCTGAAAGACACATGAGAAAGTGTTTAACATCCTTAGCCCTCTGGGAAATGCAAATCAAATCAACTCTGAGATACCATCTTACTCCTGTCAGAATGGCTAAAATCAAAAACACCAATGACAGTTTATGCTAGAGAGGATGTGGAGAAAGAGGAACACTCCTCCACTGCTGGTGGGAGTGCCAACTTGTACAGCCACTTTGGAAATCAGTATGGCGATTCCTCAGGAAAATGGGAATCAGTCTGCCACAAGATCCAGCAATTCCACTCCTAGGCATATACCCCAAAGAAGCACATTTTCCTCTAGCATGTGTATGACTACTTTATTTTGGCTTCTTAGATTATTGTCATATTTAGTATAAAATGTGCATCCAGTTTTACCTTTTCCGGGGTAGCTACCCAAACTGTGTCACAAATATTTATGGAACAAAACATCAACTCTCCCAGTGTTTTGAAATGCTACTTTATCAAACAATACTTTTGTGCATGCTTGAATCTATTTCCAGACTCTCTGTGCTGCTACTCTGGTGTCTATGTATCAGGGCCACATTACATCAGCCACTGAGAGGCTATGTCATAATGTACACTGCATCATTGTCTCTTGCTTTCCCCTTCTCCTTACCCAGGAGCTCCCAGCTGCTCTTTTATGTCTCTTTTCTGCATGACTTTAAAAATTAATTTCTTGAGCACAAAATTAAATGCTCATTGACATTTTTATTGTACTTGAATTAAATTCATATTAAAGTGAGTGGAATGGACACCTGGATGGTGTTGAGGAGTTACAGTCCCAAAACAACATGTGTTGTTATTGACTCAAGTCTACTTTAATGTCTTTGGAGAACATTTAAAAAATTTCCATATTTAGAATTTGTATATTTCTTCTTAATCTTCACCCTTTTGTCTGAGATTATAAATGAGTTTTCTTTTCCATTGTAGATTTACTTGTTAATTTTCTTGTATATGTTGTTGGCTTTTATAAGTTAATATATATTTCATGAATTTATTGAATTATTGAATTGTTTACTAAATTCCAATTCAGTTCATTATCAACTCCCTTGGGTTTTCAATCTACACTATCATTTCATCTGATATGGATATGGAGATGATATCTCTTGGCAAGTTGCTAAATTTCTGTCTAACTGTACTGATCAACAATGAAGACAGCATCCTTGCTTGATTTCTGATCTTAGTAGAGATGTATCCCTTGTGCCCCAAACAAAAAGTATAATAAGTTTAGGACAGATGTATATACACACATAAGGTATATAATACATATATACATATGCAAATTGTAGAAAGAAACCCATCAATTCTTATTGTGTGCATCCTA